CAACAAGTGAAGGACAAAAATACACCTGTTGACGTGTCCTAACTAAAGCAACAGAAGCGGATCACACATTTTTTTTTTTTACAGTAACAGTACTTTTTTTTTTTTACAAAACAAAGCCACACAAACACCACTTGGCACAGGATGACAGATCATGTGTCATCACAACAATGCAACACGTAGCCTAAGCCATTTCGAACTCTTGACCTGTGACATTTCAGGTAAAACTAAACTACCATTTCCATCCATACAATTCATATAAATACAGTCTCATATTCCGGCCAGCCTGATATTGAATTATTGCCACAAACCCAGGGGAAAAAAAAAAAAACTTAAAAGTTGTGTATCTGCAGTGTGTTCATTTTTCAATTAAAATTGTCAATGTCCTGTTCTTTCTCTCCCATACTGTGTTTGTATGTGTTTGTCTTCGTTATCCATTTTTATCACATATATTCTCAAAGGCAAGTTCTTTGACTTCCCGCTGCAGTGTTGGCTTAATTATATTAATCTGTTTTAACAGTGCTGTGTTTATTTCTACAGCAGGGTTGGCGCATAATGAGAAAGTTGGAGCTCAGAGGGCAATTTTGTTCTTAATTGCGTTGTCAGACGTTCGTTGTCAGACTGTCTGCGGCAGCTTCACTTGTAACCTTTTCTTTGGTCATGTGGCAAGACATCAGAGATGTGTGGTCTACAAATGTCTGAGGCATTGAGCTCTGGATCATTGGAAACATGATATCATGCCAGATTATTATCACAAAATTATCGCAGATGCATAACAGGAGTGATTACTGTGAACAAACTTTTCGCACTATTACCAGAGGGTAATGGCTACGCTAATTATGTAATGCTGTTGCTGTCATCATTATCATAATCACAAACACGGTCATTTGCCGGCGCACTACCACTATCATCGCCATTAGCCTATAGGATTTCTTTTCTTAAATATATCTCATTTTTGTGAGATGATTCTTTATATTAACAGAACCATTCAATCATGAGCAACAATCAAAGGGTTGTTTGAAGATATGAGTAAAACAATAAGCCATTCTGCATCTTATGATGTCTTTATGACCTCAGGTGTTAATTGTTTTCTCCTCAAGGGTAGTGTTTCTGAATTTGAAGCAGGTTTCTTTCGGCCCCGTGCCACAGTAAATCATCTAATGAGCCACTCCTTTCTGTCCTTGTCTTGTTTGTCAGAATCACTTGTGCATTTTGTCTTTAAATGCTCTTAGTCAAATAAGATATGATTCAAGTAACTGACTGTAATTCACCAGTGGGTCATTCTGACAGGATTATGAGGCCATTTCTGAAGTCGACCTTTTATCTCATTTAATTTTTTTCCAATCTTTCAATTAAACATCTCCCTCCCCCCCCCCCCCCCGCTCGCATTTCAT